TCGGCGCCTCGCTGCACTTCTCTCCCGTGTGTCAAAGAGAGAGAGAGAGAGAGAGAGAGAGAGAGAGAGAGAGAGAGAGAGAGAGAGAGAGAGAGAGAGAGAGCAGGGGGAGGATGGGGGAGGGGCGCGGGATCGATGAAAACCACAGCAGCTGAGACAAGGGCCTCGGCGCCTCGCTGCACTTCTCTCCCGTGTGTCAAGTGCCGATTCTATCTTCAGCGAGAAAGTGGAAAGATTTTCTTGCCAGGTTTTTCCGCCTTCACAATCTGGCCCAAATGGGAGACAGAGGAGCTCGCGGGAAAAGCATCAAAAGAGAGGAAAATAGTCGAGGTGAGGTCTCGGGGGAATTCATGCCAGAGCATGGTGCCGCTGAAGTCTAAGTACACGAAATCGTCCGTTCGGACATCCGTTGAAAGAAGCAAAAAGAAGGAAGGGAAAAATGTAAGAATGAACACAAGATTGGCATTTCTACTGCACAATGATGATACAAAATGGCCTGAAAGAAAGAAAAAGTAAAAAAAGGTAGAAGAGATCTCGGATCGCATCAAGCAACGGTACCCATGAAACGCAACGCAATCGACGCCACCTATCGGGTTTGCACGAGAAAGAATATGTTCACATACCTGTTGTCAAAAATGTTAGAATGATGTAGTTGCCGCCCCACCCAGATCGTCACCCTCGTCCTGCTTCGTCCGTCCACCTCTGCTTGTCCCCGATCAACCAGGCGATCACGGCGCGCTCCTGCTCACCTTTCTCCCCTTCTCTGCGCGAGGTATTTGTTGAGCTCTCGGACCTCTGGACGATGTGTTTGCAGCCCTAGATTGTAACACTCCTCGTGCTTCGTCCGTGACCCTCTGTCTCTTTCTGCTGATCCGAGAAATCACGGCGCCCTCCTGCTCAGCTTTCTTCCCATCTCCGCCCGAGATCACCCTTCACTTGTCAAAACCTCTGGCGGCACTGAGAACAATCGTCCCTGCTGCGGGCCCCGCAAGATAGAAGGGGTTGATTTGCCCAGAAAAAGAGAAAGTAAATCCAGTCCAATCTCAGACCGCCGCTATGGCTTCTGATTCCTCCCTGTCCCTCCGACTGTGTAAGGGCACGCTCAATGACATACTGCGGTATTAAATCCGCATAATCCCCAAAATCCCGCAAAAATAGTGTCGAGGGACAGTCACACCAGGATCTCATTCCCGAAACTCGTTATTCGTGACCTCATTTGTCAGCGGCCTGAGGGGCCGCAGGGGCTGGGAATTTGCGGTGGCCTCGGGAGGTTACCGCAAACTCCCTTTCTTGTTTGGAATCAACAAGAGGAAATGGAAATAAATTCGAAGACTAAGATATTGCCAGGAAATGCGATCTGGCCGTGTGACTGGAGCAGTCGAAGAAGAGGTGAAATTGAGAGAAGAGTGTAGCTAACTTTTGCAAAAATATTGCTTTTCTCAAGTTTGGCAGCAAAAATGTTGTCCGTTGGAAGTTTCCCTTGCAAAAATAGAGTTTTCGTTGCAACTTTACCGGGTTCCCATAGTTTGCCAGCAAAAATGTCGCTTTTTCCCAAGTTTCACGGCAAAGGACCCATAGGCCTCTGGCCTCAGGTGCTCAGGG